TTCATTCATTCATTCATTCATTCATTCATTCATTCATTCATTCATTCGAATAGCCGCCCATTTCACCTGTGTGACTCTGACTGGCTTGCAAAGTTAAAAACAAGCAAAACGCATATAAATAAATAAATAAACAAAACTCAGCGCAAATAAATTAAATCAATTAAAAACAATTCACCATTAACCATAAAATGTAAAAACTAACTGTAAACATTATCTCTGGAAAGACCCTCTATCCTGCTCTTGGTGCCCCTGAAATGGCTTTATTGCAGTGCTTCTGAACCTTGGCAACTGGACTTCAACTCCCAGAATTCCCCAGCCAGCCATGCTGGCTGGGGAATTCTGGGAGTTGAAGTCCACACATCTTAAAGTTGCCAAGGTTCAGAAACACTGATCTTTTGTGTTCTGGTGGCCCTGCCTTCCTACATGGGATTAAGCTTCTCCTTACTTCTCCCGACCCAACATTATCTATTCTCGAGATTGAGAAAACAAAACTACCTAGCAGCTTAACTTTTCTGCCATCGGCTGCAAGCTCAGCAGACAGAATGACATTGCCTTTACCTTCTTGATATTTACAACCTCTGAAAAGGTAAAACACTGAGCCTTAATGTAAATCGGCAATACTGCAAAGGAAGGTTGCCTTCTGGTTGTTCTTTGTGCTTTGCCAGGGGAGGGCAGGGGAGGCAGTAAGTAAATAAATTCAGGAAGGGAAAGGGGACCATCAATCTGACTTCCTGCTTTAGAAGCAAACTTGCAATGCCAGCACTGCAAATCTTCCTGCTTTCCCACCAGTATGTTTTTAGACTAGCTGCTGGACACATCCAAAAGCCTGGGTTTTTTTTACACGCAGGGATAAAAATCTCGCTTAAGATTGCTTGGGCACCACAGTTTTACCCGGTCTCAAATGGATGTAGCTATTTATTGAAGGCATTTATCCCATTTGTTAATAGGCTCTAGTCTTTAGCCAAGTTTTGTGACTGTGTCACTCAAACCTGAAATGGCCACTATCTGGACTTTGCAGAAACCAGGTACAGAAGGTCCCCTACATATGAACTTTCTTTCTTTTTTTAATAGTATTTTATTGAATTTTTAAGATTACAAAGTTAAAAGTTAGAAATGAAAAAGAAAATTGAAAATACAAATGATAAAGAAAAGGAAAAGAAAAAGTGAGATAAAGAAAAAAGAAAAAGACATGAAAAATGGATAGCTTCCAATCTATCTCTGGTCTGAAGAATAATAAGAGTGCCATAGGTACTAGTTTTTAATG